AAATAACAATAACACAAAAACTTTGGTACTTATATCTATCACTGCATAAGTGAACTACACAATCAAAAGATATTACAAGTGTTCATGTAGTTAATTGGTATAATCTGTACTGTCAGTACTAATCACTCAAGATCTCCAGCCTCTGACATTATACTACTGAGTGATACCACTGTACTGTATTTTTTTGTAAACTTCTGTTTAGACTGGTATATTTATTAACTATTTATTCTGTTAATAATTATTTATTTATCCATTTAGTAGTTAAGCTTACTCCGAGGCTTGGTATTATTCACTAGCTTATTCTCACTAACATCATTGCTATAAAGATTATTAAAATATTTACTACATAATATTAACAAGAACTACTTTTGGGATCAGTTCCAGTATTACTATTATTTATGTTGATTTATTTTCCATTAGATTCAGTTAATTATCATTATTATTATCATCATTACTACCGTTTTAATTTTGATTGTATTTTTACTTTCTTTTATTAGTTTTTTTTTTGTTTCTTTTTCTTTCTTTTCTCATCTTTTTTCTTTTTCTTTCTGGCTGGCCATGTTTCCTTGGTCAGGCCTTTGGTGTTTCTTTTTATCTAGCCTCTTAACTCTATTCTCATTGCCGGTCACTGTCAAGTTTAAATAAATTAATTAATACATAAATTGCTAATGCATGAATATAACAATTGATTATTATAGTCTACTAGATATAATATTATTATTAGTTTTGAACAAGTGTAAAATTAATTCAAGTTGATATTACAGACTTTATCAATAAACTACGGCCTCACTGCATTGTATTATTACTCAACTGATAGTAGATCTATCTCTATAGATAAAAATTATATTTGTCACTGAAGTTCTGTATGTTGTCTAGGCCATCATGGAGTTTGCTAGCATCATAAATACTGATGCTAGCATAGATATCTATGCTCTAGGTCGGTCAGGTCCGTGGTCATTAACGCGGGGTCCGTACTTTAGTCTTTTCGGGTCCCTTGGTCGGGTCCATAAATTAGTTTGTATCGGGTCCGTCGCTCGGTCCGTAAATTAGTCTTTTCGGGTCCGTTGGTCCGGTCCGGTCCGCTTTTTAGGGACAACCACCCTACATACCAAGCGCTAACGCTTGGTAATAAACCTATTGATAATGATAAGAAAAATAATCATAAATTATAAATATAGATAAAAAATTTATAAGCTGCCTGCCATTTATTAGAGCAGTTTTAATCACCAGTACAAAACATTTAACTACTAGTAAAGTAAATTTGTCAAAATGGTAAAAGAGCCCATGCAGGAATAAACACAATTAAAAAGGGAAATGAATATAGATCTAATATGATTTAAATTTATGGTTACTTTTCAGTTTGGAGTGGATAGTAGTACAGCATTCATACCTCTTCCAATGTTCATTGTTACTGTATTATTAATAGGGATTATGTTGTGCATAATTTGCTTTACTTTTTCTTTCTCCTTTCAATCAATTATTATCCCTTAAATTTAATGTTTTATCCCTTTAATATAGTAATTATAATAAATACAAATAAAAAAAATTTATTGCTACATTATTTTGCCATTATTCCAGGCTATACAAAAAATCATTCACCTCAAGCTAACAATAGTTTATATATGCTTTCCCAGGAATGGTGAAGTTAATGATATTCAGTGTTTATGTAGCATCATGTGTGTGAATATATTCAACACATTCCTTACTATGATACGCATAATTATTCATTACTTATGATAAAAATGAGTCATGTGAGCCAAAAAAGCTTACACAGCACATTATTTTCTATCTTGTTTTTGTCTCTATACTAATCTAGAACTATATAGAAGTAGATCTGTACTGTCAAGCTATTAAACCAGTGAGTTGGGTAATGCACTAAAACTATTACTACTGATTCTAAAGCAGCTTCTCATAGTAGATCTAGATCTACTTATATACAAGTACTTACATGTAAAATTCCCATTTCTAAACACAGGCTAATCTACCAATTGTTTGTTATATACTAGCTCTACTCTAGGTTTTTTCCTATAATGGCTACTGTTGATAGCAATGAGGAGGATGGGGAGATGCAGTCATCAACTGACTATTATGACCTCTTGCAAGTAGACAAAGATGCAAGTCGAGCCGATATCAAGGCTGCTTATCATAAAATGTCTCGAAAATACCATCCAGACAAAACCCTTGATTCAACAACGGAAGAAATAATGAAGAAGCTCAATGATGCTAAGACAGTCCTACTGGATGAAGTGAGAAGAGCAGAATATGATGATAGACTTGAAGGAGATGATACTGTCACTGATCCTAAAGGATTTTACCCAGTGGTATGTATAGCCTATTAATGTTAATTAGGGTTTCCCACAAATTTTGACAAGACCCCAGCTTCTTATTGCCTCATGTGTTGGGAATATAATTTGTGCTAATAGAATGTAGCTTTGCTAGTGTATTGATAGACCAAATACCTATTGATTTTGATGATTTTGATTTTGATTTTGGTAACTATTGATGCTTTGTGGTGTGTTTTGACTGTTTTCATAATAAACAATAAACCACAAAATTAAACTCCAGTAAATGTTTCATGATTAGTTGGATCAAAATTAGATTTGTTATGAATTTTTTTAAATCTTCCAAAATCGGGCAAAATTGACAAACAGAGAATTCTTTTTTTTTAATTTTTTTTCTGATGCATATATGTGTACTTATGTTGTGTAGTAAGTTTGAACTGACTTTGATCAAAATTAGATTTTTCATAAATTTTTAAAATTGGGCCAAAGACCATAGGCTATCTATTATGTACTTTCAATACAGGATATATCACAAAAATTGGCCCAAATAAAATTTTTCATTTCATTATATTTTCATGTTTTTAGCCGATTCTAATTTAAAGGAAAATTTAAAGTTGGTTCAAAAGTTGGCCAAACACTATAGACTATAGCCCATGGTATTGGCTAGGATCCAAAAAGTTGACCAAAAACCATAAACTAATCCTATATGGCTTGATATCAGCTTAGTATACTTTTTGGAAAATCCTGATGTTATTTATCATTGTATACATATGGCATGCTATTTTATTAACAATGATTTTCATTTGATAGGTATATGCTTTTCAAAGCTAGTTTTAAGAAACTTTGATGATTTCAAAAAAGATTTTAAGGAAGGACACATCAGAGTGCAAGGTGAAATGTTTGAACCACTGCTTGAACAAAAAGTTAGAAGCAAAGTCTTAGACAAAAGAGCTCAGTATGAGGTTAATATAGTCTTTAAGAATAACGAAAACACACCAAATCCATTTCAGACACT